ACTTGTGGTCTTCCTATGGCATAGTGAGATTAAAGTGAATGAAGCCAGCTGTGTTTCTGAAACGTGCCAGGTTCGCCTGCCAACATTTCACTTTGTTTTTTTTACACAGAACAAAAGGGAGTTTGTAAAAACAGCAAAGACCCACAACTCTTATCTACATGAAGCGCATTAGGAACAATTATAGACCGGTAGTTTTATCAAGCTGTGCCATAACTGGGTTGTTTATGCTGTTTTATACAGTTCTGTTATGCAATGTGAACTGCACATAGCTGTGGCAACAGACAAATATGATCCAAAACTCCAACAGAGTTAGAAAACATTCCAGCAATACCACAGTCTGACTCAACATCTCTGTTGCTGTTCAACATACCTTCAGATTTCTATCATACCGCAGATCACGGACAGATGTTCTGTATTTTCACTGCTGTCTGTGGCTTCAAACGTTACCAATCTGAGGAGCTGCTCCAACATCACGCAGCTATTGCATGTGCAAAGTTTACATAATTCATGAAGCAGCTCTCAGACTGAGCTGTGAAAAGCTGCTCGTTTCAGAGTTAACCATATGAGCATTCTTTGATGTGACCAGCACTTTAAAGAATGGACATAATCTCACAATTTGGCATCTGATGGAAGCACTGAATATTTTCTTTACAATTTCTTGACCAATGAAATTAAGCAAAAAAAAAAAAAAAACATTTTTATGATCTCCAAGAAAGACATTTGGGAAAATAATGAATCAAAACAGGATTTATTTTTAAAGTGTGTGTGTTCTGTTAGCTTTGGCTTAAATCTTCTGCAATATTTTAGAAGTATTCTCATAAGCATGGTTGATAAATCTATATATACATATATAGTTGGGAAGGAAGAAACAGAATCTGGCCATGTGACGACATTTGGTAATTTGGCTGGTGCTTAAATTACCACCTGCCATTTAATGATGGGATCAAGTGTTCCTTAAACACCCATGAGATCTGTCACATTTAGTAGGCAGCAGATGGCCGTCTGGTTTGGTAATTGCCTCTAAAAGACCAACTTACTTTTGCTGCTAAAATATTAGCAAGAAAAGAGCAATAGGAAGACCTCCATGGTGATGCATATTACAGATGAAACCATTCAAGGTACTGTTTAAGCAAAAGTGATTGTCATTTAATCAGACATGTTGTAAGGTTTCAAAGTGGAGCTGCGTGGCTTTGTTAAAAAAAATAATAATAAATTTGTGTAATTTAAAAAAAATGTTCAACATAAATTCCTCCAAATGAACAACCGGTAACAGCCTTATTGAACAAAAACAGAGTCTCATCATTCAACGCTTTGACAAAACGCATGACAGACACACAATAGGGCCCAGTAATCTGTCTGGACATTTCCAAACAATGAGAGATGATAGAGAGTAAAGCGGATATAATTTCCAGCATCAGTGAACAAACAGATGTAAACATTGTCCACAGTGAATGAAAATTGCAGTGTGGCACATACACATATTTATACACACACTCAGACTCTCCTGTTTGTCAGTTCTTATTGGAGGAAAGAGATGTGAGGGGAAAGAAATCAATGTGACTGAGGGATTGCCTTTGAGGAATGAGGCCGTCACAGTCACACACCAACAGCAGCTACAGATTAATTCCCTCCAACAACAGCCCCTGCCCTCACCTGCTGCAACATGCTCTGCCAGGCCTCGCAATCTACCAGCAAATTCCTTCCGCTCAGAGCCGTGAGATGGAGGGTGAAGACGAGTCGATGGAGGGGTTAGTGGGCTTGACGTTGCAATTTTGATGTTGTGTAATTGACAGGTATGATCAAATCCGGTGTGTGATGCAAACATTACACCACCCATCATCCTACTGCGCTGCGACAACAAACACAAAAGGCCTCTTGGTGCAAGAAAATACCTGTCTGCTTGACGGTGCTATTCAGAAGTGGCAGAGCTATTCATTTAGATAAATGCATAGTAAGTCCAGAGGATAATCAATCACATCTGTGTACAAATTACAAGGCAATCAGATTATTAAGTTTAACAACACTACATTGAGAGAGAGAGAAAAATATCCTTTAAAAAAACCAATAAAAATTCAACATGATTTATTTAGAATGATGAGAAGAAAAAATATTAAACCAACTCTACGACTTTCTGCTTGGTCTTAGCAGGTAATGAGAGTTGCTTTAAAAACAGTCAACCCTTGACATGAAAAAATGTCAAGGGTTGTACAATTGATTGTAGCTAAGATGACATTTATTGTAGCTATAAATGTCATCTTAGTGATCGTGGATCAGAGATGTACAAGAACTCTTGTTGTGAAATGTCCTGCATCGCTGTAGTGGACTGACCAAGGTGGAGCCCACCTCTCCTGAAATGAGTGGCGTTTCTCCCGAGAGACAATATTGAGGTACTTTCCCTATTCCTAAATCTGTTTAGATGTCGGGATCATTCTCTAGTTGCAGCACCAAATTAAACCAGACTCAAACTGTCACCCCTCAAATGAAAGGGAATTATATCACAATCATAACATTCTGGGAACCGCTGAGAATCAATTGTATAATGAAAAAGAAGCTGTAGAATCATCCTTGACCCTGTCCATGGTGAAGCAGTTTCACATTTCCGTCAAAATCAGCAAACATGAGAAACAATTCCAGCAGCACACTAAGTCAAGCCAAAAGCTGGCTTGTCAAAGTTTTGGCATATTAGAGATAGGAAAAAAGAATAAGCCTAGACATATATTAAAACATCTCTTAGAATAGCTAAACCAAAGTAACAAGATGTTGATAGTTTGAATAATGCCTAAAAGCCAGGTCTATGCAAGGAATCATTTTAGTTTAAATGCATTCAAATATGAGTGATCAAATATTCAACCTCAATCATGCTGGAAACTTTTCGGCGGTTGTAACAGCAGGTTGTCCAGGTGTCAAAGCTCGTGCCAATGATGAGTGAATGCAAACTTCACTGAGGATATGATGGTCCAGTCTGGAGTTAATTTTAGGAAATTATTTGCTAGATTTTAGACTTTTTAAAGATAAAAACAAGATTATCTATTAGAAATGATATGATGAGATAACACAGTGTAGGTTGCATCTCAACAGCCATACTCTGGCTAAACAACTGACAACCTTGTTGCCTTTAGAATTTATAAATCTGTGTGCCTCATACAATATTAAATAAAAGAACAAAATTAATGCTTAGAAATGTCACTGAATAAGTAAGGTTCAAGGGACCTGTTTAAAAGGAGAGAACATTTGCCTAAAAGGTGCGGCATGAAGAGCCTACATGATAAAGAATTAATATAACCTTCAACATTTGAAAAAAGCTACACAATTGCTCTGTCAAAATAAATTGGAAACCTTCATTCGCGTCGCGAGTCCCGTCTCCTCCTTCATCTCTCTATATTTGAAACGCCTTTTAACAGAGCAGAAATCAGTAATTGAATTAGCTTTCTAATCTCCTTTCTCCATTATGCAAAGATTTCTTCTGTGCACCTGAGGCCACTACACTCTTTTTTTATTCTTTTTTTTTTTCCTGATCTGACTGTGAATAAACTCCCATTTCCCGGGTGGGGGTTAAGTTAATCCCCCTCTACCAGACTCATCAAACCCACACACACATTTACAGAAGATCCCCGGAGACAAGAGCATGCCAGACGGTGCCTGGAGCTACCTGCCAGTAATTTAAAGCAGACAGATGAAGGAGTGAACCCAGACACAATAGCAAGACTCAAATACTATTTTACTATAGTTACATAAAATGTAAGTATTTCTAATGCTTACTTAGCAATACTAGTCATCTTTCTTAAGGTGGTTGCTGAAGAGGATGAGTTCAATGTGGAGAGACAGCTAGGTTGCAGACAAAAAAAAAAAGAAAGAAAGTGAATTCAAAGAAGCAGAGCTATCCTCATCCATGTCAATACAGCAGGAAGGATGAGCGATTTTCCATGGCTTGAAAGCTCAGAAATCTAAGTGTAAAAGAAGCTTTTATCATTTCCTCAGTCAAAAGGAGAAAAAGAAACTCAGAATAAAAGAAGTCTTGTGAATAATCAATGTAACTAATTTGCATAGAAGTCTCTAACGCAGTTTGGCTTTATTTGAAAGAAGCCAGCATGCATACAGATCATCATACAAAAGAGGAATTCAAAATGTCGCAAAATGAAAGCAAAGAGGGCTATACATTTTATCTTATCTACACTGCATATGTTCTGATCTGATATGAAACAGGAACAGGAGCAATCTGTTTCAGATCCCAGCCCACTGGACAACAATGAACAAGCCAATACCTGAAGATCAACATCGAGGCCTGTTGACTTTCCTCACAGAGATAAAGACAATCATCACACTGCTCTGTCATGAAAACATCAAAGCATTTATGCAAAATATACGAAATAAACACAACCTTATTTCTTTTAACTTCCATGTCTACAGCTTTATGCTGGTCTGTTACATAAAACAGCAGCTACAGACTAACTGTGTCTGTAATGTGAAAAATAGTTTAAATGACATGAATAGTTGTGCAAGGAAGTGTAGTGGTAATGTGAAAATTTTCTGTTGGTCAAATACACATAGATTCAAGATTAAAAACATAAAAAATAGTTAAAGGGTGATAAAAATTGTGCAAGATATACAATGTATTTACAGCTATATACAGTTGTCTATTTTGTGCAACAAGTAAACCTTTTGGTAAAAGGTGAGTACTTTTTCTGAAAATAATACTCATCTATTTCCATTCTTTACTTTTCATTGAATCACTTGACAGACTCCAGCGATACCCCAAAAACAATAAAAAAAATGTTTAATTACGAAAATAAATAAAACGTTACGCTATCTAACCAATAAACGTCACTCAGGAAAACATATTTTGGCATGACAAAATAACTAAACGAAATTGATCCATTTCATTCTTAAATGGGTGTTTGTGAAGCTCAGCTGTAATGATCAATAACGGACAGTAGAGGGAGACAAGGCATCACAACAACACTTTGCGTTATTTGTACTCCGTGACAGGAGATGGCAGCAGCAGGAACAGTAAATTCAACAAAATTCCCTCTGTTAGATAAGCAACTGTTATTCAACATTAGTAAGAAATGACTTGCGTGAAGAGAATATTTTCCAAAACCCGTCGCGTTTCAGTCGGACGCCTTGTCGGAGTCACGCTCAGCTCTGGCAGATGTTTCCACTCGGAACTAGTAAGAACTAACGCGATATAAATAACTGCTTGCAGGTTGTTGCAAACGCCGAGGCAGAGTGCTGACATTACCTGAGCACGTCGGGTTCCCAAACCTCACAGAAAACCTCCTGATCACCCCACAGGTACGAACCGAATCCAGCGGACTGCCCATTGTTCATCACGGCAAGTATGTGTGCGACCTTCCAGCAAACCACAGGTTCCCAATGGCCAAGTTCCCGAGAGTTTTACACTTTTTACTTCAGGACCAAGTCATCACAGAGAGACAGGTGAGATAGACAGCAGAATCAGCTGTACTAGGAAGTTTGTAACCAGGCTTTCTGAACATGTTTTATCATTTTCTTTGGGAATTGGCTGCTTTTCACCATTTACTTTCAGGATTTTTCCAACTTGCCTGGTATTTTTTTAGTGCATGCATTCTGGGAGGAAAAGATACCAAAACCTGAGTTGGAACAAGAGATGCACACGTTTAAAAACAAACAAACAAAAAACACAAACAAACAAAACAAAAAACACTAAAGTAAAATGTACCAAAGTTTATGTTTTGTTGGCAACTGCCAGACATTGTATAAAGTTATTTTTGAGTTTTATTTAATCTTGTAAACACTTAGAAATAATAAAATATGTACTTATTAGAAAGTTCCTTTCAAAATAAGACAAAATTCAATATTGAAATAAACTCAATCATTGAATCAATTGTGATTAGAAAATGTGGTTTTATGACTCTTAGAAACTGATTTGGTTTCTAATCAGTCATATTTTAAAATGTTAGAGTCAGCTCTTCCAAATAAGTCAGTGTATTGCAAGGTTTTCAGGTAAATAATACATAGCAAATTAAATTAAGTTAGTTGAGACATTTTATTATTATTTATCTCATACTACTACAAAAAATAAACAAATTTATCTTTGGTATAAAATTTTGGAAATAGGGGAAAGGTAAATTGACTGAGAACCTTAACTTTGCTTCAACTTCACAGTTACGAGCTGCTTTGTTTGTTAAATCATGGTAAAAGGCAGAGGTTTGTGGTAGGAACTTGACAATGCATGAAAGAGCTACGCTGGTCATTAAAGAAAAGTTTAAGGTGAGTATAATAGGTGCAGTTTCCTGTTAATGTTAATCTCCTTCATCACAGTAGGTTTGGGTTCCTGAGATTGCCTCGAAAGACTTGCTCGGCGCCGTGCATACTGAGGATTACCTGAACAACTTTATAAGTGGAAGAATAAATGAGCAAGAGCAGCGGAGGACAGGTTTTCCTTGGAGCGAGGGCATCGTACGACGGTGCCGATATGAAACGGGTCAGAAGAACGAGATTTGAGCAGGAGACCTGACAGTCAGAGAAGTTCACATCTGGATTTCTTCTCCTGATAGGTGGGACTGTTCTCGCTGCTGAAGTGGCTCTACAGAGGGGTCTGGCTTGCAGCACGGCGGGGGGAACCCACCATGCTTTCCCCAGCTATGGCTCGGGGTTCTGTCTCCTCAATGATTTAGCAGTTGCAGCCAAATACCTCATGAACAGCTCATCAAGGAAGAGAAAGGTTTTAATCGTGGATTTAGATGTGCATCAGGTGGAGTTGAACTCTGTCATTTTTAGTTATTTTCATTTCTAGAACTGACATTTTTTAACTTCCCTGTTTTGTGTCCTTAGGGTGACGGCACTGCTTTCATATTTAAAGATGAGCCATCTGTGTTTACATTTTCTGTGCATTGTGGGAAAAATTTCCCCATCCGCAAACAACAGAGTGACCTGGATATCAGCGTGGCGGATGGGCTGGAAGACAAGGAGTATCTCTCCACAGGCATGTTCACAAATATGTTCAGAAAACCTAACATGTTTCTACCGGGCCAAAGAGCATATTTGACATTTGACAGGTAAAAGTATTGAATTTCTATAGTAGAACTGCTTGATTCATCAACAGTTGCAGAGCACCTACCCTGGCTGCTGGAGACTTTTCATCCGGACCTGGTTCTGTACGACGCTGGTGTTGACCCACATTGGGAAGATGAACTTGGGAGACTCCGTCTGACCGATCAAGGTGAGTTCTTCCTCTGGTATTCAGTTATTCTGAATACCTGAATACATTTACAGTGCAGTGCTGAAATGTTCCAGAAAGAAGTCAAGTAATAGCACAAAAGCAGGCTGCAGTTCTTCAAGCTCATTTTGTAAAGCACTGCAGTAAAACGTTTCCAGGATCAGAAGATGAGATAATGCGCAAAGGTAGCAGGAAATCTTGTACAGCCATAATTATGTATCAGTTAATGCTTTGATTGTTGGCATTATAGATTAAAGAAAACACTTTATCATAGCAACAAGCTGTCCAGCTTTTTCAGCAAAAATAGCCTCCAAAGTGCTGCTGACAGATGCTGCTCTGGCACTTAGTTTTCCACATATTCAGCTGCAAGAGCCCATTTACTGCAGTGGAAAATCCCCAGATCTGAAGTATAAAAATCAACAGTACATGCTAAAAAACCTGAATTTTGAAAAGTAAAGCTGCGGCTTTTGGGAGGTTTTGTAAAGCTTTAACGTGCTGATACCACTTGCAGCCAATTACTATTTCTCTTCAAGAATGTTTGTCTAAAACATTTACAGCATTCAGATCAATTTTGCAGCCAATAATTATTTAGTCTAGGAGCAGAAGCAACTTTCATATGAGGTGTGTGAGAAAATCAGTCACTGTAAACCAAGATTTAAAAGAACAATGCTCATTGTTCTTTATAAACTTTTTAAACTGGCTTTATTTGGCTGACAGTTAGCACATTTTGCATTGCTAACTTTAAACAGAATTGTATGTGCATTTCTTTGAAAATTTCAACCATCGCCTCAATGCTGAAATTTCCAAAACATCGAGAGTAAAGCAACTTTGCTGCAGTGCATTAAGTCGTCCTACTATTAGCTGAAGTTGGTACATTTTGAACCAAAAAAAAGAAGAAAAATTTCTAATATGAAATATTAGAAAATAAACACATTCCAGGTATGTCCCACTGGGAATCTTGTTGGTCTCTTTCAGTTTCAGATCTGCCAATCAGTCATCAAAGACAATTGGCAGGTGAAAATATGATTGACTGTTGAAAACCAGCTTCTCTGCTAAAAAAGAGTTTCTAACACTGTATTATATCTTCAAGGGCTCTACCAGAGAGATCTTTATGTAATGAAGACTGTGGTGAAGAGAGGTATTCCTATTGCTACTGTTATTGGTGGGGGATACTCCAGAGACATCGACAAATTGGCCCTCAGACACTCCATCGTCCACAGAGCAGCTACTCAGGTAAAATAATCTCAGCATATTAAACACATCTTATTAGTCCAGACATCATTTTACATATAAAGTGAACAATTATTGCATTTGTGTTCTCCTTGTTTCAGGTTTGGAGGGAGTGTGGAATGTAAAGCCATGTCCTTTAAGAACCAATAAAGGACATTTTTTTTCAACAAAAAAAAAAAGAAAATGTTGACAATTTGTACCTTTGTTGTTTCGTTATTCACTAGTATGAAATTTAGACAAGGCAGTTGACTAAATGTGCACCTTTTGTTAATCAAACACACTAAAATTAAAAATGCTCAATGTGCAAACATAAAAAAGTACTGGAAAGACATAGCCTAATGGGAGTGTATATGGAAATGATCTACGAATTAAGAAAAGGTTTTGTGGAAACGCAATAACCCTGAATTAAGACTTTTGATAGTCTAAACACAGTAAGTTTTCTAAATTTTTCGAATGTCTCCTCATTCTCATGTCCTCTCGCACCCATCTCAAGAATACACCATTGTACTTTCCTATAAACCTTTTGAGCGACCAACTTCTACCAGATCACTGGGAAAAGATAACCAAGGAGAACAAAGGATAGCACTGATATAGCAGTAATGGCAAAGATGCGTTGATGCATATCATTATGAGTATAATCATTTCCATGATTACAAACATAATAATGTGCATGGTTATATTGAGATTATAGACATGTTCGCAGCATTTCACATTGTAGGCGGATCATGACCCTAAACATTATTGCAACACCACAATTATGGACAAAATTATTTAAAGAAAAAGCAATTTAAAACCACGAGACACTGAGGTATCCATACTTCATAATCACAATTGGTCCACACACACTTTATTAAAAAGAGAACTCATTCTTCTTGGCACAATGAATACAGATAAAAGCACAGAGTTAGACTAAAGTGTCGCTTTTTTATGCCATGTTCTGACATGAAGCAGTGACACATTAATGGTACAGTGCAATGTTTCATTCACAGTAAATGAGGCAGTTTATTTGCTGAAACACACTGCTGGTTTTTTCAGCTTGTTACAAGACATTATGCAGCTGCTCCTGATATTAACATCAAAACACTCAAGATGGGTAACACCGGAATTTTGGAAGATGTTCTAAGCTGTTCAGAGCACTAATTGTAAAAGAAATGACTTACAATGCCTTGCAAAAGTATTTACATGAAATATTTCTAGATATTTCAAAGGACTTTATGCGATAGACCAACACAAAGTAGTCCTTTTTGTTTTTATAACAAATTAAAATATAAAATTGGATTTCTGTTTGTATTCAGACCCTTCAAATTAATTACTCCTACATAAAAGTCAACCCAATTACCTTTAAAAGTTGCATGACACCTTCCACCTTTAAGTGTAAATCGAGTTTTGTAAGGGCATCACAGATTGGTTAGAGAACTTTAACAGAAAAACTGAATAATGAAGACTGAAAAACACCAGAGTGGAAGGGTTTTAATTATGAAGAGGCTTAAGGCAGGGTTAGATGATGAAACAATATGCCAAACTTTTAACATGGCACACTGAATACACTATAGCCTAGGGAGAAACATGGTGGTGGTACAATCATGCTGTGGGGATGCCACATTTTCAGAATTTGTCATTTACTCAGAAAAATCTTAAACGTGCTCCAGAATTATGCGCCATCAAATAAAAATCACAAACAATTAAAATAAAGTTTGTGGCAGCAACATGATTAAAGTAGTTAAAAGGAATATTAAATACTTTTGTAAGGCACTGTATAAGCCATCTATAAAACATCTAACAGAGACCACAAACAGATGCTGTCCGTTTGGCTCTACATACTCAGAGGTAACAACCACATTTTCATAAAACACGCAAACAATAAGATTCCTACACAGATAAAATGATTAAAATACTAAAACCAATGGAAGTTTATACTGTCAGTCAGTCTTTCTTAAGTCACTCTGGCTTTTAAGTCCCAAAAGGGAAACAGTGCAATCGTCAACATCCCCTTAGAAGACAAGTCATTTTGAAAAGAGTTCAAATAAATAGAAGAAAGCTCAGAATCGGTCATAATGTTTCCTCCTCTTGCTTTCACAAAAAATAAATACTTACAATTTTATTATTATTATACAGTATACCTTCATAGCACACTGCTTTGCTCTGAGCTGAACCATTTTAATGACTCCATCTTAAGTGCTATTAATAATGTAAAAGCAGAGAAAATTATCTGAGTGTCTGTAGCTACAACTGCACATTTACAGACATTATCCTGCGTTGAATGTAAAGCGTTACTGTGTGGTGAAGTGCGAAAATTTGGCCCACACATGAGTTGAAATCAAATTTTCCATACCTGAAACTTCTCTGCCACGACACACCAGTTGGCATGGTCAAAGTAGTTGTGTGTGACATGGAGCTCTTCGACATGATGCTCTATCAGCTCTGCCAGCTCTCCTTCTCTGAAGACGTGATAGTACCTCAGACAGGAAGCTTCCACCTGCTCTTCAGGTGTGCCTCCCTGTTGCCCTGATCCTATTGGCTCCCTGATGCTTTGATTTTCAGACTGCCTTAGATTCTCCTGCTGCAAGGAAATAAGATCCGGCAGAGCAAGTGAGCCACACTCCTGTGCTAAAGATACTGAGACACCCTGATTTTCTTTGCCGTTATTATAGGTTGGGTTACTAGGGCCTCCTGGATCGTTCTGATCTTTTTGCAGGTCTGTGTCTGAGTCAAAAACGTCCTCCTCTGATCCGATCACAGACGGAGGGGAAAAGAAGCTAGAGACCTGTTTGATGAGGCCTCGTCCTCTTGGCCGCTGGTTGGGCTTGTTCCCCTCGTTTCCACCTGTGGCTGATGATAAATGTCTCAGGTCTCTGGAGGACGGCCAGGAGATGGCCAAGCTTCCAAAATCAAACACAGAATCCAGAGACCTGGAAAAGAACCACAGTCTCTGGGTCCTCTGCTGCGGCGCAGTCTGGGTCACATCTTCTTCATCGGCTACAGAGGATGTGCTTCTGACCTTTCTGTAGTTTTCAGTGTTGTCAATGGCTTCACTCACGCTCTGTGCTGCGGCCCGTCTCCTGGGTTTGGTATCGTCTCTGTTGAAGGTGGAGGACAGATGAGGGTTGGGGTTCCAGGGCACAAAGATGTCTTGTTTCTCGAATTTCCGCCGCTTCTGCTCCATGGCCCACACATAGATCATGATGCGTCCACCAACTCGCAGAGTGCGAGCCATCTCCTTTATTGCCCGAATGCGACGCTCTTTGGTGGAAAAATGATGAATGACTGTGCAAAACACAGGCTTTTTTCAGAATAAAGAAAGATGAAGGGAAGATGTTCACAGTGCCCTGGGAAAGTATCTATTCTCTTTGAATTTTCTCACATTTGTCTTGTTATACAAACACCAACTTCAGTCTATTTAACTAGAATATGTGACTGACCTACACAAGTAGTGCACTTAAAGAAAAAGGAAGATGATGTTTGGATTTTTAACATTTTTCTTATCAATGAAAAAAATCTGAAAAGTGTAGCATTACTTTTTAGTTTAGGTTCTGAACTTGAACATGCAAATCTAACTCTTAAACATAGCTCTGACTGCGTGTTTAGAGTTACTATCTTAATGGTAGGTGAACACCAACCCTGGGTTCATACACTCATGAAAATGTAAAAAAAAAAAATAATTAAATAGCAAATTGTTTTGAGCCTTGCTGCTCTCTTGATGTCAAACCCCTTTACAAAAAAGATCTGAACAAACAAGAAAAGTGCCATTATTGTCTTTGTCCTGTTGAAATTCATTGCAGATATTACATCAAATCCTTTGCTATTCAGTTTAAAGATTGAAACACTGCTTAGATTTATAATATTACAGGACAAAGTACAAAACCAGTCACATGGTTTGGGTGAATGATCATGACTCAGGGGGTTTGTTCATTGTGAATCTTTCCATTTTCATACAAAAGAATGATAAATTGTGGCTTTTATTCTAGAGTATCAGAAAAAAGATGAAGGAAAACACATGACACTTTCAGTTTCGAAAACCAATAATTTTCCTTTCTATTTTACAACAATGGACTCATTTGTTATGGTTTTTCAACCAAGATCCCAATAAAACTGAAGTCTGTGGTTGAAATGTGACAAAATATAAAAGGAATTCAACGGGCAGATACTTTTTCAAGGCACTGTTTCTTACATGTCAACACTTGTAAGAGACAAAGCATGCCATGCACTGAGAGTACACACTGTAACTGTGTTTTTGACTGCTCCCCTAACTGAGCATAATATTACACAATTGTGGGAGAAGACATGAATTATTTCACACTGTTGACTTGGCCACACATGATGCTGTAAACTGATGTTTATCATTAGACGTTGTAATAAAATTTACACCAAATGGCAGCTGCACATGTTGAGCAGCTGCCATTTGGTGTTAGTCAGTAATAAGCTGTATTAGTCATCTTTAACTGTGTGTGTGTGTGTGTCTGTGTGTGTCCAATACCGGCTATAGAGAGCACAGCATCAAAGCAGCCGTCTCTGTAAGGCAAGCACAGGCCGTCGCACATCTGGACCTCGTGTCCTTGGCTCCAAGCAAAGTCCACCAGGGGGCGACAAACATCGCACCCCAGCTTGAACACCTCCTTGTTGATATGGAGGTATTTGCCATTTCCACAACCTGTCAAGGACAAAACAGATTATATATATAAAAGATATTACAAATAGCATAAAAGACAAGAGGTTTTATTACATCAGGGATTCATTTGCTGTTGTATTTTAAGCCTCCTTTAAATGATGTGAATATAGACAAGAACAGCAAAAAAGGACACAGCTTTAATTATCATGTCATCGCATTTGAGGTGACACCCACCAATGTCAGCCACGATGCTCCCAGGAGGCAAGTCCAGCAGGAACTGTCGCACTTTCGGCCAGGCTTTGTAGCGGCTGTCATTGAAATATGGAGCAATCTTGTCGTAGACACTGTGCACATGGTCCCTCTCCAGTTGACTGGCAGCCTCCTCCATCATGTTCGTCACGGCTGCCTCCTGCAGCCTCACAGCTTCATGGCTGTAATGACAAGAGAACAAATTAAACCATCAAATATAGCGCAGAGAGTTAGAACTTTTTCACCCTTTGTCACTAATCAGTACCAAATATTGGGATTAAACATCTGAATAGTGTGGTGTGCTTCTGTATTTAACTCCCCCTGATATAGTATTTTGTAAGACCACCTGTGAGCTGTAAGTACTGTTGCAAGTCTTTTGGGGTACATGTCGATCAGCTTTGCATAAATAGAGACTAATCTTTTTGCCTCTTTGTAAAATAGCTCAAGCTCAGTCACATTTGGTGGTGAGCATCTATGAACGTCAATTTTCTCA